TAATAAAAAAAATACATATTTTCTAAGGTCCAATTCCACCGTTGTGTTAAACGAAGATTAAAATGACATTGTTAATGTAAAAATATAATTTTAAACTTCGTTTAACACAATGGTGGAATCGGTCCTAAGTCGATAATATAAAACTTATACATTTACCTGAAACCTCAGAATACACCACTTTATGAAAAGTGATCCAGCGAACTGCACTATTACTATACTAAACTATATACTATAAAAAACTTTAAAAATCGCACAGAAAGAACTTTAGATAACACGGAAAAATGGTTTATTATCTACCACTCAATTTGAAATACAAATATTCAAGAACCAAATTGTTTTTTATGCAACTCCTCCTACTACCTTTCAACGTAATGACAATAAATCAAAATATTAAAAATTTAATCTTTTGTTACTGTGATGTTCATAATTCTTTTCCCTAATGAGTATGAAAATCACTTTTCTTAGAATAAATTATTTTTATTTCTTAATACTTTAATAAGATTTACAACCTTAATCTATGAACATTATGAATTTTAAAATCCTTCTTTGATCCTAAGTCTTATAATAAGTATTATAATAATAAATTGTCTAGACTTAGGTACTTAATACCTACGAGTACTTACGGAAAGTGAAATCATTTTAATTTAATTCCAGTATTTTTTAAATTTGAATCTTATATTTCTTATATTGTAAAACAATGAAAATGAGAGCAATTTGTTTTTCTATCTTATGGAGTTAAAAATTCTTTTAAAATCAATATAAGAGGTAAATATTTATTTCCACAAGTGTCAACGTTATACATACGCCATCAAATAATATTGGATTTACCCTGTTTTTTCTAGCTTTTTCAGGGGACAAATAACCATAACTAAAACGCGACAAATCCTCAACCATTTCCCATTACCGATCCCAAACAAAACCAAAATCCCTCAATAATACCGAACAGGTAAGGAGTGGGGGCAGATATACTTACCAAACTGTGAGTCAAACGACTTATTGTGGGCGGATCTATCCTCCCTGGTTCATCGACCTGCACGAAAAATCTCTCGCGATTCGGTAGTGTAAATACAATTAGCTGTTTTGACATGTAAATACTTCTTTTATTGTAAATATTGGATTTAAATCCGAATCGCCGAATCCAAAGTCCCAAGCTCTGCCCATTCCTTTATTATTGGTATTAATTTATATACATCATTTTTATAAATCTAAATATTTCGTTTTCAGCTTAAGTAAAAATCAGTCATTTAATTATAGGTGATTATAAATTGTCTCCGTATTATAAAAAAATGAAATTTATCTTTTTTTGAAAACATGGATCTAGAAAACAGTATGTAGGTATATAGAATTAATAAATACAAATAAAAAACACGTTTTTAAAAAAATTGAAAAATAAATAATTATATAATTTCTTATTGCTTTGTAATTACCATTTAAATAAAATAAATAACTATATTATTTTTTTTTGTACTTAAATATTGGTCTTCCCTCGTTTACGTATTCAGATAGAAATGATTCTACGCTAAGAACCCCGTGAGTAGCAAATAACAAATTCAATTGATCGATAATTCATTTTGGCGAGTAGATTATTTTACCAAATATTTGACTACAGGCACTACTGGTTAGGCAGTCTAGCACTACAGAGTTTGATCGAAAATTCTTTGGAGACTCTGTCCTTAACTCAACCATAGTATAGAAAGAAAATTCCATATATCAAAAATGAAACCATAAGGAGAAAATAGTGTGTCGGAGCTCATGCGTATAACGGTGCTGGCGCGAACAGGACCGGTGCAAGTTTTTTATTGATCGAACAAATAGTTCGCACGATATTTCAATCATACATTTTTAGAGATGATTCTATACAAAAAACGATTAAAAAAATTTCAAGTTAAGGTAAATATGGTTCTGACAGTCCTTATTAAGAAAGATATGGCATAAAATATGAATTAGTTAATTTTCGGCAATCATTAGTACAGTAGTCATGAGATTTTGCTTGTGATTTTAAAAATACTTTCCAGAAAAACCACGTGCTCCGGTTTTGACTACGTTTATTATTAAACAGCGAAATTATATACAAAAACTTTAATCCACAATCTAAATTAGGTACTATCACAAGAAAATCACTGTTACAATAATTAATTACTTAACCAAAAACTAAAATACTTTTTAGGTACCTACGTAACCAGAAAGGAGCTGGACCATTTATCCTAATATTGATTTTCTCTCTCCCTACGGTAAAACTTAAAACAATAACAAATTGCCTATCTACTAGGATCGGTAACTAAACGTATATACATAATGGGCGGATTTTGTTTATACTTAACATTACACTCGCGCATTTAAATATAACTATGCATATAAATATTTACAAACAAAGATACTTTTCCAAACAGGCAATCATTAGTACTGTAGTCACGAGATTTTGCTTGTGATTTGATAATATCATTTGCTACAACTAAATTTAATCTGGGGAGTGCAAAATAGGGCCCAGGAATATTATGTTCGATATTTTTTTACATTTTGTCAGCCGAGACTATGAGTCGTTAGACAGAAAACCTTTCATGTTTCCATTTTCAATATAAATTAAAAAATTAAAAAATACTACTACATTTACTTGGTACATATTTTATTTTAATTTTGAACCTTTTTAAAAGGGTCTTTCGGTTCCATAATAAAAATTAGTTGCTGCTTACTAGAAACATTCTATATAGTCTAAACCAATTTATAGTTTGTTTTCGATCAATTTAATACAAAGATTTAAAGTTTTTAGTCGATGATAACATTCCACACCAGCACATTGCAAACCTATTTTATAAATAATAGGAATAAACGGGGGGTGGGTTGGCTCAGTGGTTAGAGTCATGACTTTGAGATCGGAAGGTCTCAGGTTCGAATCCCACCGTTGGCCGGGATTTTTTCATTTAATTTAATTATTTAAAATTAATTCTGATGCCTTGGTAGGATTCCCCACTCGACCATTCACTGTTGGGTTCTAATTAACAGTGCTGTTCCTAAAGTGGCGCTGGGAAACAGTAACAAAGCCTACACAGAACACGAGGCTAATGGCCGTAGTAGTCGACGCCGATGACACCAAAATAAAAAAAAAAAAAATAGGAATAAACTTGTAAATCATTAATTTGGTAGTTGTCTCACTCATATGATTTTTTTGTTTATATGACTATTTCGATTTCTAAATATATTTTGGCCTTACAATACGAAGCGTTTTGTATCTACCACTTTTTTAATGAACGATGAATGTTGGCAGGCGTGTACCTTTTTCGGAACAAGAGGCGTTTTAACGAAGGAAATGATTTTCGAACTATATAGTTAGTTTTCGGAAAAATAGAAAACGTTTGAAGAAAGTTGTCAATAACAGTTTGTCGTTCATGTGTTTCATTTTGATCAGCTTTCATACTAAATTGCGTAGATTATTTTTCCGATTCAAAATCGAGATTCTCGATATTTCCACAGTTTATTTATAATACCTTCTAAACTGGATTTATCTATCATTTTATATACTTTATAATATATGTTCATGCCCTACTATTCACTTTATTAACAATTTTTTTTTAACATACTTCAAAATGGTAGGATATTCTCAATTCGTTGAAATATTTTTTTATGTATGTTGAGCGATAATTCTTTACCACGTTGCCCGATTTCTAGGATTATTTTTGTTAAAAAAGGAAACAGTTTTATATACATTAAGTCAAGATCTGAAGATGGGATCCATAAGAAAATCATTAACATCTTTATTTTTAAAGTAGGTTTTTTTTAAATTTCTTTAAACCTTACTGGTTCGAACGCGGTAAGGAATGAAGAAATGTAAATAATTGTTGTGCCAGCCAAAAAGCGAAGAGGAAGTACCGATTAAAATATCGAGTGACTGAAGAGTTCCTAAGATTGTTGAGATCGGGTTTATGTTTTAAAATGCCTTAAAACCGATATCGATAATGTCTCCCCGTCGCTGGGCAGCCTGTATATAAATATACAGCTCTCTATTTACATAATTATAATTCTTAGGTAGGTTTAGATTTGCAGACATAAATCTTGTAATAAATATAACAGCTGCCTAATACATTGATTACATTTTCATTAGCCAATGTAAAAATGTCTTTTATTGTACCTAGGATTTGACTAAACACTACACAATACTAAAAATAAAATGCCACTTTCATCGTGTAATTAATGCCGCGTTTGAGAATCCACATAGGATGCATTTTTTACATCTCGAGCGTTTTTTATCCACATCGGACACATCTGTCCCATTACATTTACGTATACTGAATCACGTGATCAAAGATTTACTACTTACTACATCTCAGATGCATCCGATGTGGATTCTCAAACGCGGCATAAATAATAAATTACAAACGGTCCTGTAAGGGCAGCGTCATATAGCCTTGAAACACCGGATTTTTAGTGCTATTGCCAGGTCAATATTGAATTTGTAGGTGAATCGCTTATTGAACATTAAAAATACGGTATTAATGACATTAATACGGTATTTGTATATATTTTTGGGAATGTAATTACACATAAATATTATTAGTTGATTATTTAAATGTGTATAAGTTATTTTGTGGCGATATTTCGTAGATATAAACTGTTTAAATCATATAATTTAAAAATTAATTAATTTAAAATTATTTTCTGTTAGGTATGTTTAATATATTTGGCAACACTACAGGGACAAGTCATGCATATTGCGCAAGCTTCTGGACACACTATTTTGCGATGTCAGGCGCAGAGACGCGTTTTTATGCACAGTAGGTTTCAATTTCTGCTTAAATGTTATGTTTATATTGGTCTTCTATATTATTTCTATGAACTCAACAGATTACTTATTTTTTGGGAGATTTTAAATTTTCAACGAATTTAGGACCAGTTTAAATAAAAACATTAAAAAAATCAATTTTTTATTATATTGTAAAAATGTAAAAAAACATTAACAAACACACCAATTTGTAAAAAAATTACACAAAATAAATCAAAGTCCTTACAGCCATGAAGCCGGTGATGAGGTATCCAACGCTCCAACTCAAACCTCTGGCCGGTTGCGGAAGTGGCCACACTGCATATACGACCGTATGCACTATTCGGGCTATAGTATAAATCAAAAATAATGATTCAGCAAGAACAGTGGCAGGATTGGTTAGAGTATACAAAAGCCCAATTATGAAGAATAATGAAATGTTTTCGATGTCGTTTAAATGAGCTCTTCGCACGCGTTCGACGTTTTCCTCGTACTTTGGTTCCGCGCGAAATCGTATGGCATCTTCAGGATTAACGAATGCCTAAAAAAAAACTTCAAATTTCCAAAATATTCGTTCATTGTCATTTGAAAAATATGAACTTTTCGTTTTAACGGTGTGTATATGAAAAATTGTTAAATGTGGCATCGCTGCATTAGTAAATTTAATATCAAAATTGGTTAAGTAGGTTTTTCATCAGACGCAAAGGATTTTTCCTATGAAGACTAGAGAGAAGGAGGCAAATCGGCAGTGGTCAAATTTCAAATTTCCGTCCTTTTTTATAAAGTTCACGAAATTGACTGTAGTTGGCATGTCGAATGACAGCGGTGTCAATTTTCTATGTAAGTCAATGTAAAATAAAGTGATTTATTAAAAAATTGGTGAAAAGATTAATATAATGTGAAAAAAGTACCTGAGTACAAGTAACATGGGTGACAAAAAACATCAAAGCAAGATTTACGTCGTTCCAGATTGTAAAACAGGATAAAAATCAAATGTAAAACTAAAGAAAATATAAGAAGATATCAATTCAATCTCTTTTTAAAGCTTCTAATGCAAGTAAAAACATGTATTCATGTCTAAATATAATATTTATTGTTAGTCGCATAAAATTAGCATGAAAAAAGTGAAAATGGATAACTTTTTGCGGAGAGGTCCGATTTTCTGCAAAATGTTCAGGAAACCATCTATAACAAAAGGTATATCTAACCTCTGTACGCTCACAAATTCTTAATTGTTTATTTAACAAATAAGGTATTTTTGTTAGAGTGTTGATGAATATGTGCCAAATGTCACACACGGTTCAACGAAAATATCTGGAAAATGTTCTCTCGGGAGGTTTCGAGGTCCCTCTTTATCACTTTGCTTGCTAAATTATTATAACTTGGCTAATTAACAAATTATTAACTCGACTTCCGTGCGTGGTAAGGTAGAGAGGAACAAAAGGTGTTTAGGAAAAATCTTTAAAAAATTATTTGTTTTTAATAAACCGTCGGAAAACAATAAAGAAATTTTAAAAACATCATAAAAAAGTGACAATTGACAGGTGACAAATTTAACACACATTCTGGATGTCTTGAGCATCTACCACTAATAGACCTTTTCATTACAATTTTTTTTTGTGCGCATGCGTCAGTTTCAGCCATCTTTTTCGTACTGTTTTTGTAAACAAGTATGTTAAAATGCTTACGTGAAAAAAATTATAATTGATAAATATTAATTTAAGTCTATATTCATTTAAAAAAAGGAAGAAAAAAGGAAAGTAATAATAAGTTTAGTGTCTTAATTGAAAAATACATTTTCACAATCAATTATAATTATGTTATCTGTACCATTGTACAGAAAAGAACAACGAAACAGTGTTGTTATGTAAAAGTGACACGCGGTATAAATCATTCAAAGGCAATAGATATTATTTTATAAATTTTCCAAAGCCTTAACTGCAATATCGTAAACAATTATCAGGCAACATCCATATTAAAAGATATTCGAAATGTGCATTAAAAGTGTGAAAAAATATGGTCGAAGTGACAACGGTTTTCGATGGATTAATGATGTTACTAAAGATACTTATATTTCACTGCATTTTCATGGAGAAAGTGGTCCAACAGAAAAAAATTCTCATGTGGTATTAACAATATTTTTTTAATATTAAATACTACTTCGGTATACACATTAAATGATTAAAAATGTCATGTTGATCCTCAAAATAATAAATAATTTATTTTATTAATTATACTCGTGATTAACTTTCATGCTAATTAAAGTGTTTTTGCAAGTAGTAATAGTTGGTTGGCATAATTAATTAGAATAAAGTTATAATTATTATTTGTTTTCATTATTTTTTACAGAGTTAAAAAGAATTATACACCTAACCTCTCAATTAGTCCACTTTGTTCCTTTGTAACAAACATCCAAGACACTTCAACCTCCTTTTCAACTGCTCACAACTATGCGCTTCCACAGAGTTATAAAAAAGTTATTCACTATCAACGATTTTTTCTAATGACTTAATTTTTCTGTAGAGATAACATTGCTTTCCCAGCCATTGTCGATCAAAACAGTACGAAACTTTTGAATTACCGCTATTTCAACATGGTGGCTGCGCACGCGCTCATCACATGATGAAAAGTTCTATACAAACTCCCTTCCTAAGTACACCCAATTGGCTGAGGGCGGCATTGTAGGTCGAAAAACAGAATTTTGGGTGGTTTTTCGCGGTTGCCATAGAAACTGCCAAAAGGATTTGGATGCCAATTTTTTTTAAAAAGATTCTCGTGGGTTTACACCTTCGGTCCAAGTTTTATTAAAATCGGTCAATCCGTTCGGACGGTTCGATTTTTTAAAGTTGCCCGGAAACCCCTCTTACTAAATTTGGCCGAAAAAAATGGCGCTGGACTAAATTTCTGTGTACGGGATGAGGTAGAGAGAGGCAAAGGGTGTTTAGAAAAAATATAAAAAAAATAATTTGTAATAAACCGTTGAAAAACGATAAAGAAATGATCAAAACGTCATGAAAAAGTGACAGTTGGCAGGTGACAAATTTAACATCCATTCGGGCCACCTTAGAGATGTCTTGAGCATCTACCACTAACCCCGGTGAATGACATTTTACAGGTGTTTCAACTCTTTTTAAAATATGGCACCAATAGCAGCATAGTATGTAAAAAATCCACTAGATGTCGGTAGAAGATGAAGTACCTCAAATGAAAACAAATTGATTGCGAACTGTCAGAAAAATTCAGTTAATTTTATCTTAATCGAGTAAAAAATACGTCTATATCCAATTTTTTTTAAATAATGGTAATTTATTAATGTCTACTAATAATATTCTATATTACAAACGATATGGAAAGTGAAAATGAGAAGAAAAAAAAAAACGATACCCCATAGCACCCACATATTTCATCAAAACAAAGTGAGAACATTACTATTTTTCATCATTTTTAGTGTACAAGACAGCAATAATTAAATAATAAAAATAGTGTGTATTCTTTCCTACAAAATTGTAAATATTGTTGAAATGGGTTTTGAAAAAATAAGTGTTAAGTGCCATTTTGATGTTATGTTTACAGAAGAGTAGGTATAAAATTATAACCCGAGAATAACGATCAAGGAGAAGCGACAGCTTGGTGTTTTTAGTGTACCGTTTTGTAACGCGCATGTGCGAAAATAAGTTGTGTATCGGGCACGGTGGTGTAGCGGTCTATCGCGCTTATATTCATTTATAGGCAAGTTTATGAGTCTGAGACTGCTGGGTTTCGAATCCCAGACCAGACCATGTGGATTTTTAATTAAATTGCATGGTTCGGTTTAGAATTTGATGTGTGGCGTATTAATAGAAATTTAATTTCTGTTGATATGACACGCAGATTAAAAAAAATTCGCCATACATTACCGTCTCGATGATGGTGGGTGAGGTTTTCCGGGTTTTCCTCACCTGTAAGTCAAATGGCACCATCAATCATCTTTAAGTCGCCCCGGAGCGCCACGGCAAATAATAATAATAGCCGTCCCTTTCCCCGGACAAGCTCAGCTTTTGGGGTTAAAATTCACTCGTAAGGGGGTGAATTAGGGAGAGTATTATTATTATTATTATTATCACTCAAAATGATGTTATCTGTCAAAGTCAGTCCAAGTTGTGTTTAGTACGTGAGCAATGTTAAGTGATATTTTTTGGTGTTTGTGCAAATGTGCCAAAAAAGTTACTAGGAAACTGAGAATTTTATCACATGCATAAATATTAAGTATAATGATTTAATCGGAAAAGGCAAATAAATCAATCGGTCAACGCTCTAATTATTACATTACTCCCAGATTATATTCCCTAGTTCCTCAATCAATAAAAAAAAAGAATAATGTATCTTTATATAAAAAGAAAATTAAAACATGGCTTGCAAATTTATCTATTATCGATTTACAAATATGTTTAGGTTTTTTGCATTAGTCTCCACATTTACACATTCATTCTTTTTTTTATTTATTTTTATCTGCTCTTATAATTGGTCTAATTTATACTCTATATATTATTTTTTTATAATTTATGCTACTAACTAAAAAAAAAAAACTATTTCAAATATATTTTTATTGTTTGTTATGATTTTATGATAAATTTTTTTTATCATTATTTTTTATTATTATTGTTATTATTATGTTCAATTGTAATTCTATTACTCTTATTATTCATGTTATGATTGTTATTATTATTATTATGTTCAATTATAATTCTATTATTTTTATTATCAATGTTATTATTGATGTTATTATTGGTATTGTTATTATTATTATCTTGAATTATAATTATATTACTATTACTATTATTATTACTATTACTATCACTTTTATCTTACATAATATTTACATTAATGTGCCGATGATTAATTGATGTCCCATAACAAGTTCGTCTTCATGGGACTGCCCTCAATTTATTTTCCACAATATAAATATGTGTGAAATAAAGTTCATCTTTATTGTGATTTCTTTTTTTTATATCATGTATTTAATTAATTTTAAGATTGTATGTATATTGTTATTTGGGAAATAAATTATTATTATTATAATCATTTTTGACATTTTATTTTTCATATGTAGGTATTGTATTTTGTGAAATATATGTTTTCTTCTTTTAAATAAATTTAATAAACAATGAACTGGAGATTTTGTTTATTTTATTTTGAAATTATATTTAAAAAAATATAATAAATCCGCGTGTTTCAATTAGGATTGGTCAAAATGGGCGAAATCCCTTTATTATGGCTAAATTGTAAGGTACAATTATGTCAATATAAAGATGTTTTGCCCATTCATATTTACATTTATTGAATGAATCATACTGGAGTTGATTTTGGAAATATTGGTGCATACTTAAATAAGTACTATTTCAAAAAATTCGTCTATGCCCAGACATCACACATAGTCCAATGTACGTCCACTTTAGATCTATTTGAGGGTCAGGACGTCCATATCCGGGCATCCAGTGTACGTCCGTTTATGCTAATTAAATTGACAGCTGAATATTGATACCCAGAAAACGTCTGTTTTTG